GTGGAGAAGGGTTTCTTTTTCCCCACAGTCCCCCCAGCACTTGTTACTGGTTGATTTCTTGATGATAGCCATTCTTTCTTGGGTAAGATGGCATCTCAGTGTTGTTTTAATTTGCATCTCTCGAATGACCAATGATATTGAACATTTTTTCATATATTTATTTGCCATTTGTATTTCTTCATCTGAGAAGTGTGTATTCATTTCAGATGCCCAGTTTTGGATTGGGTTTTTGAATTTGGGGGGTCTGATTTTTTTTCCCTTTTTTATATGTTCTAGATAAAAGTCTTTTGTTTGAGGGATAACTGGCCATAATTCTTTCCCACTCTGTGGTGATTTCTTTTGTTGTGCAAAAGCTTTTTAATAAGGTGTTGATTCTTTATAATATTTTCCTTGCAGTTTGGGTTTTGTTCATGAAGTCTCTACCTATACCTCTGTCTTCAAGATATCTACCTATTTTCTCTTCCAGTAAATTTAGTGTTTCCATTTTAATATTTAGATCTTTGATCCATTTTGACTTTAATTTAGTGCATAGTAATAGACATGGGTCTAGTGTTAGTCTTCAGCATGTGGAAAGCCAGTTTTTCCAGCACCATCTATTAAAGAGACTAACTTTCTTCCAGTGAACATATTTGGCCCCTTTGTCAAAGGTAAGGTGGTTGTGTTTGGGGTTGCATCTGCACCTTCTATTCTGTTCCACTGATCCTCAGGCCTGTTTTTTTCCCCAATACCATGCTGATTTTATCACAATAGCTTTGTAGTATGATTTCAGGTCTGGGACTGTGATGCCCCCTGACTTGCCTTTGTTGCCCAGCCTTGCTTTTGCTATTTTAGGGCTCTTCTGGTTCCAAATGAATTTTCTCTAGACCTATGAGATATGCTCATGGTATTTTGATTGGGATTGCATTAAATCTGTATAGAAGTTTTGGGAGTATGGCCATTTTCACTATGTTGGTTCTTCCTGTCCAAGAGCAAGGGATATTTTTTCATTTTCTGATATCCTCTTCAATTCCTTTTTTAGGGTACTGCAATTTTCACTGTAAATCTATTTTTACCTGCCTAGTACTCATTTCCCCTTCTTTTGGCATTGATGCCATGATTTTCTTCTGTCATCCTCCCTTCCCCCAACTTAGGCCAGGTCATGCAGGAAGGGTTGAGTGCCTTCCTGACCAGCTCCAGAGTGGTCCCATGACCCAGGCCTGGCCAATCAGGCCCTTTCCCTGGTCACAAGATATGTCTCAGGAATGGGCTTATAACTCATGTCAGTCCTCTAAAATAGGGGCCCCCAACCACCAGGTCACGGACTGCTATTTGTAGGAGACCGAGACTGACCTCCATTGTATATTAGTAGCTGCGTTGTGCGCCTTTCCCTCAAGAACTAGGACTGCCCACCGTTACCTAGTTACTCCTGCCTTTGTCGGGTTACTTGGTTATTCCCGCCTTAGAACTTCCCGCGTTTCTCCGTGCGGTATATAAGCACGGCACTTCCCGCTAATAAACAAGACTTGATCAGAGCACTGTCTTGTCTCCATTCTTCGTGTCTCTTGTCCCTTTATAATCCCCACTCCCCCTCTAGTGTTCACGTTGACTACCCGCGGGCTGAAACAGCTATTGGTTATGGACCAGACCATAGAGCAAGAGGTAAGAAATGGGCAAATGAGTGAAACTTCATCTGTGTTTATACCACTCCCATTACTGCTTCTGTCAGATCAGTGGCAGCACTGAATTCTCATAGGAGCACAAATCCTACTGTGACCTGCACATGTGAGGGACCTGCATTGCTTCTGAGTCACCCTGAAAGTGTTCTCCCCACACCCACACCCACCCATAGAAAAACCAGCTTCCACAAATTTGCTCTCTGGTGCCAAACAGATTGGAGACTGCTGCTCTTGGACCTGAATTAGACTTATTAAGAAAGTGCTATTATTTTAAGGGGGATAGAATGTAAGTCTGGAGCTGCTGAAGTAGTATCAGTGGGAATAGAAAAAAAAAAATAAGGGAGATAATTTAAAGGAAGAGTCAACAGGATTTATTGGCCCACTCAATATGGGATGGGTGAGAAGCAAAATGAAAGACAAACATACCCACAGTTTCAAGCCAGCATGACAAAATAAATAGTGATGTCTTTGAAAGAAGGAAGTAGAAGATTTATAAAGCCCAGCCAACATTTACAAGTTTATCTCTATGTAAATGACAAGGCCTAGACTTTTTGAGTAATCGGAACTAAAGACAATATTAACTTTCTGCTATCACCCGTGGTTTCAAAATATTCGTCGGTTTCAAAATATTCGTTGGCCAACTCAACTCCTTAAGTCTCAGTGCAGCAGAGGTCTTTTTTCCTTATTTTGTTCCTACCTTGTTCCCTTGACTATACCTCTCCCCAACTCTCAGTCACCTCAGGCTGGGTGTGGACATTGGACCCAATCAGAATTATTTTCTTTCTGGCCATGGTGATAGGGTCAGAGCGTATCTTGCAGTCAGAGCCAATGAGATTCAATTGTAGGAGTTTTATTAGAACTTGAAGGAAGAAAACAGCTAGGCCTTTCTGGTGGACTTAGAGTTAGGAATTTTAAGCTTGAAATTGCCAGTGGTCACAGGTGCAGAAGGTTTGCCTAAGAGTGATGCCAATAAGAGAGAGCAGAGCTGAGACAGAAAGAATGAGCAGATGCTGATGACATTATGTGGGCACCTGGATCCAGCCACACCTGAGGGCTGATGACACTGGCTGCTTGAGTCATCATGTTCTTGCAAATTAAAGAATTCTGATCAATATGTGAGCTTTGCAAAAAGAAACATCTATATACACAGTGTAGGACTATGAAGACTAAATGCTAAATGTTATAATAAATGTTTTTACAACACAGAATTTGAACCCATTTGCTTACTTGTAGAAATTAATGTTTATGTGCAAGGAATTTCTGTGATCCACCAAAATCTAAGCAAGCTAAATGATACCTAGTATATTCAAGAAATTAAAGACAGATATAGCTATATAGCCCCAAAGAAATGAGTCTGTTTACCAAAAGACAACAAGAACATTCACAGAAACATTTTTTTTTTTTTCATGAGAGCCAAAACCTGAAAGCAACTCAAATGTCATTCAGTAGTGGAATGAGGAAATAAATTGGGCATATCTGTACCATGAAATACTATACAGCAATAACCAAGAATGAACTTGTGCTACATGCAATGTCATGGATGAATCTCACAGGTGTAAGATGTGGACACAGTTGGACACATAAGAGCATGTTCTGTATGACAGTCACACAAGTTCAAAGATAGGTGTCCTGACATGTGGTGATGGGAATCAGGACATGGATATCTTGGGGAAGGAGAGAGGTGGGTAATGACGAGCAACTGCCATGACAGAGTCTTTGGGTGCTGAATGGTGATCTTAGATTACGTGGGGGCATAGATACACATGTGTAACATCTCATCGAGTATAATTTAAGAGTGCATATATCTCTAGAAATGTATTACTCCTAAGTTTTAATAATAGAGTGAAAGTGAAAAGATCTAAACTAGAAGATATAACATACAATCTGTTTCTCCAAGGGGCCATCATAGCAGTTGAAAAGAACAAACAGCTTAGGTCCACAAATATTTCCAATTTTCTTCCAGATAGATCGGAGAAAATCTGAATTAATGAAAACAAAAGCTAGGTGAGAACACGACACATTACCTGAATTGAATCATCTATGTGATGCTATGAAATGAAAATGCTAAAAATAAGAAAAGCAGCACTTGGTATCACTTTGAACTGTTTCCGTTTGCTGGCTATGTGGTCTTGGGAAGTCACTTAACTGCTCCAAGGCTGCTTCTACACCCATGTAACACTGACTGTACTAACACCTCACAGGGCCACTGCAAAGAAACATTCACTGAACAGAGCTATTACCACTATTTTTATTTATGTATAATGTAAGTACCAGACATTTCCAAAAGAGTTAGTGGATAATGAAAGTCATATACTCAACCAAGACATGATCAAAGAAACAAGAAGCGTCTCATAATGAAGGAGCCCTCCTACCAGATGCCTAGGTTGTAGCTGAGAACTAAGTTTTGCTGTGAGCCACTTACTAACTCAGACTAATAGGGAATCTTTGGGGTTACCTAACATTCATTATTTGTGAAAAAGCGGAAGTTTATCCATTTTTCTAGATGGCCACACTGCTCCTCAGGCTCAGTTTCTGAAAACAGCTTACCACGAGAGCCCTTCCAGAGGGAGCAGGTCACAACACGGTGGAGCCCAGTTCAGTCGCCTTGAAGCCCCTCCAGGTCACTCTGAGGTGACACACAGCCCATCAAGTCAGGAAATGGGCTGCAAGTGTTGGTGGCCATATCACTTTCAAGCCAAAGCCTTTGAGAACCAAAGTTGGACCCCCTCTCCAGCTCCCTTTCCTTCTGCCCTGGCAGCCAGTAACATCCAGGTAGGGACCAGTCCACCACGCTGGGTTCCTGCATATGTACCCGGAGCACAGCCCACCCTGCCAACCCACAGCAGCTCTCATGAGCAAGAAATAAACTTTCGTGTATTGAGACCTTGAGACTTTGACTTTGTTTTGATGCAACAAAGCTCAGTGTAGCCATACTGATACAAATCCTTCTGGTCATTGTTTTGAATCTCTGATTATGTGCCGTGTGTGTGTGTGTGTGTGTGTGTGTGTGTGTGTGTGTGTGGTGTGACTGAAAAATACAATGAATGCTTTTTAAAAAAATTATCACAGTAAATGACACATTGCCACTAATCCCCCTCAAAATAGTCCCCTTGCTTCAAACACCCTAGTCCACTGTTCTTGCTACTGTCTGAAGCAGTTTTGCAAGCTGATTCAAAATGTTTACCTTTCCCAGTCATTCTGAGTTTGGTGGAGAGCCAGAAGCAGCACGATGCCACATCCGGTGAATAAGGCGGATAAAAGCACATCGTAATGTGTTTACGAGCTGCCTTTTCACATGGCACACAGCAGCAGCATTCACAGTTTTCTATCACTCTCATAAAGACATTCATGAAAGAGGACTTTCAGAACTGCTTCAGAAAATGAGAAGGACAATGAGATAAGGGTGTTTGAAGTGAGAGAGAGTCTTTTGAGGGAGGTTCACAGCTATGTGCCTTTTACTGTAGTGAGGTTTTTCCCCCAGCGGAGGTCTTGGATTGAGAATTTGAGATCATGCACCGCCACACCCTCCTGCCACTTGTCCAGCTCCTGTGGAAGTGGCTGTGCTTGACCTGGGTTGGCTGTGAACCACTCGCTCTCAGAAACACGCTGATAGGGTCCCTGCGTACCAGCTGCTCTGCTGTCCCAGCATATGATGTAACTGCCAGGTAACGTGGTGGGATGCTGGTGTGATAAGTTTTTTAAACTTAAACATTCAGTGTATATTTTGATCACATCTTCAGGCCATATGTATGCACATGTTTGTACACTATACATATGATATTGTACAGAGGCGGACAATTATATATATGCAGTCTATGAATGCATATACATAACATATACTAAATATATAGGTATATATATACTATATGTGTATATATGTACTGTATGTATTTGTCAGAGTAAATATATCCATACATTGTATATTAAATACAGTCATCCCTTCCTGTATCTGCAGATTCCATGTCTATGGATTCAACTAACCTTGTACTGAAAATACTTTTTAACAAATGCATATCTATGGAACATGTACAGACATCTTTTCCTTGTCATTATTCCCTAAACAATATGGCATACAAACTATGTATGTAGTATTTACACTGTATCAGGTACTATAAATGAAAGACATGATTTCAAATATAAAGGAGGATTGTGTAGATACTAATTAATTATAATATCATATTAGGGACTTGAGTATCCATGAATTTTGGTATTTGTGAGGGGTCCCAGAACCAATCCCTCTTCCCCTGCACTCCCTCAGATACTGAGGGGATGTCTGTTTATACACACAGTGTACATATTTATTTACTTAGAATATATCTGCACATATATCTGCATATATGTAATAGGTATTTTATATATATACACACAGTCATAAAACACACAGATTAAAAAGACAGATACATAGATGACAGACAGATGAGATCAGCCAAGGCAGACCTTCGTTCCTTCCATTCAGGTCTCTGTTCTGAGGTCACTGACAGGGGCTTGTTTTTCGCCTGTCTCTGCAGCCCAGTTACAAATGTGTCCCACCCACATCATCTTCACTGGAATAAATTTCTAAATAAACACAACGCCAAGCCCACAGAAAAGTCCTGTGAAAGAAGAAAGAGGAGGAAATAACCACAAGGAGGTAATCTTACAATGTTTGTCAAATGACGTGGGACTGGCCTTCTGAGAAACCTTGAGCTTCCTAGTAACTATAAGGGAAGCAAATAAATATGCTTCCCATTCAGAGAATGATAATCTCTCTTGGCATCTTGGAAAAGCACAGAGGGCACTGCATTTTTTCCTATTTTTTGTTTCTCTGGAACCTCCTCAATAAGGGGCAATCAGACCAACTACTCCAAATCCACCTCTTGCCATCTCATGTAGGGTTTCTCACTTCTCTGATGCAATGATTTGTAATTGCCTTCCCGGCAGTGAGGAGCCTTCCCCGTCTGGCCATGGTTCAAGGCTTCCTGGTTTAATCATCACAGTGATCTTGTGCTTGCCGCTCAGTGAGTCCAGAAATCTGGGGAAAACCCACATCGTGGAATTCGGTCTCTATCTGGCTCTCTGCTGCCTCCTAACCAGCCAGGACAGCCCAGGCGAGTTCATCATCACCCCATGATCTCACGAGACACAGGACTCAGACCACCAAGGGTTGTCAAGCCAAGTTTAGTCTGCATGACAAACTGGAGACAATCAAAACCCACCAGGTGTCAGGTCCTCATGTATCTGTACAAAAGAATGCAGTGGGGTGGATAGAAGGAAAGCTTTATGGCACTTTGGATGGCATGCACCTGTCATCCCAGCACATGGGAGGGAGCAGCGCTGCCATGAATTCGGGGCCAGTGAGTTCAAGGCCAGCTTGAACCACATAGTGAGACATGGTCTCAAAAACAGAAAGAAAGACAGAAAGAGAAAGAAAGAAAGGGAGAGGGTGAGAAAGAGAAAGAAAAGACAGAAAGGAAGAAAGAAAGAAAGGAAGGAAGGAAGAAAAAGAAAGGAAGGAAGGAAGAAAGACAAAGAAAGAAAGAAAGAAAGAAAGAAAGAAGGAAAGAGAAAGAAAGAAAGAAAGAAAGAAAGAAAGAAAGAAAGAAAGAAAGAAAGAAAGAAAGAAAGAAAGAAAGAAAAGAGAAAGCAGCTTTAGAGAGGCCTGTACTAGCAGTAGATGGCCAGCTCTGGCTCTTGTCTTGGTCCTTTTTCCACCTCCTGTGGTCATGCAGACTGTAAAGGACGGAAGGTTAATTTTGCTAATTGAGGCCATTTGTTACCTGAAAGGCTGGAAAGAAGCCAGGCCCTTATAAAACCGCAAGCCTGTCCCGCATGAAATGCAAAGTCACCCACAGGAGGCCACAGTGAGGCCACAGCTGTCCCTTTGAATTTCTAGCTGTGTGAACTTTGTCATGCCAACACATGACAAGGCAACCTTCCAACCCATATGAAGAAATTGGTGCTCTTTTTGCTCCTGTAACTTTTTGCTCCTGTAACAAGGCACATACATATTCAAGACTCTCAGTTAAAATCATAAAAGTGCCTGGCATGATGGCCCATACCTGTAATCCCAGCTACACAGGAGGCTGAAGCAGGAAGACTGTGAGTTTGAGGCCAGTTTGGGCAAACTTAATAAGATCCTGTCTCAAAATAAAATTTAGGAGCTGGGGATTTAGCTCAGTGGCACAGCGCCTGCCTGGCAAGCGTGAGGTCGTGAGTTTGATTCCCGATACCAGAAAAAAAACCAAAAAAAAAAAAAAAAAAAAAAAACAAATCAAAATAAAATTTAAAAAGAGCTTGGATATAGCTCAGGAGTAGAGCATTTACCTAGCATGGGTAAGAGAGACTCTGGATTCAATTCCTAGTAAAACAAAACAAAACAAAACAAAACAAAACCTCATGAAAGAGATCCGGTAGAAACTCTTAACCAGTCCCAATGAGTCATCATCCATTTGATTTAAAATAAGCCAAACCAAAATGTTTTAAAAATTGTTTTCGTAAGGTGCGAGGGAGGAGAAAGAACCTAGGGCTGCCAATATTCTATTCTGCCAATAAGGACATTAAAAGTCTTGACCACAATCAGAGCGGGCAATCACTATGCATGCACACAACATTTTATGGCTATTTTGAAAAAGGAAGAGAAAGTGGCCCAATCTCAGAAGGATGGACAGCCTTAGTGGAATACATTTAGTCCCATGAAAACTTACTCCTTCACCCTTATTTTCCCTTACTTGGTCCCACATAATTGCAAACTTTACCCAAATCAATCTGGTCTGCTGATGCTACTGTAAACTGCTGGTATTATCTGTCCTGTCTCTTCTCTCAGGCTGGCTTTAAAAAATGTTTTGTTTTTAGCCAGGTATGCTGGCATACTATAATCCTAGCACTTGGGAGGCTGAGGCAGGAGGATCACCTTGAGTTCAAGGCCAGCCTGGGCTACATACTGAGTTTAAAGCCATCCTGAACTGCATAGTGAAATGTTCTCAAAAAAAAAAGAGTAGAGGTGTGGCTCAGTACTCTCTAGATTCAATTGCAGGTATTGCCAAAAATGTTTGATTTTTGACTGACATAATTTTATATAGTAACGAGGTACATGTGATTTTTTTTTTTTTTTTTTTTTTTTTTGAGACAGGGTTTCCCTATGCAGTTCAGATTGGACTTGAACTCACTGTGTGACGTAGGCTGGCCTTGAACTTGCATTGATCCTCCTGCCTCAGCCTCCTGAGTTCTAGGATTACAGGTGTGGGCCACCATGCCCAGCTATGACATTTTGATTTACATATGCATTGGGTCTCATTCTGTCTATCTTAGGTGCATTTGCAAGTGGGGATGCCAGGTCAAATGCCTCCTTGTGCTATTTTCTCTCAGTAACTTAAAAGAAACAGTAGACTGTGGTGAGCTATAGAGGATTAAAGAACAAATAGCGACAAACACCCCCAGCCCTCATGTCTGAGGACTCTACTTCTGCACAATCAAACACAGATTCTCTTTGGAGAAGATTCTGGAACCAGTCCCCCACAGATACTGAGGAATGACTGAATAAAATGTAAAAAGAGTAGACAGAATTAATTTTTGCAATTAAAATATATTTATATATAACATGAATTATATAAATAAATGTTTTGCATATACAAAATATCATAACTTATGTTTTACTGGTCTTTTGAAGCTTGTGTTAGCTTTGGCCAGCAGCCTCAAAGCCATTACAACAAATGCTTTGCAATTCCTTTGTCTTTAATGGGTAATGTGTGGAACCAGGAAATAAAGGTAACATAAATAGTCTCTAATCAGCAGCTGAGGGCAGTCCCTCACTTAAACCTTTCCTTGTAACTAAATACTTGTTGGTATAAGATCCAGGGAGCTTTTGAGAGAGTGCTTCTGCCATGGAGTCAGTCATGTTCACAGCCATACTGTTGGAAAACAGCCTATGATTCGAGATGGTATTTTCAATAAACATTATATAATGAAAAGAGCTGTGTCTTCTGGTTTTTTTGTTTCCCTTTGCAAAAACTTTTACCAAGATTTCAAGAATTCACTTAATTCTCGAGGAAGGTAATATATTTCATGAATGCAAAGAGAATATAATTTATCTTGGTAAGTAAGAAGGGGTCGGAAGCTAGAATGTGAATTCTAATCACATAAAGGATATCCCTTAAGACAAAAAAAAATCCATTAAGAAAATAGTCTAATGTACTGCATTTACCACAAAAGTAGCAAATGCTTCTTGATACATCAGATTAAGATGAATTCTAACATAGTTTTTAAATAAGAGGGGGCGGGAGGTGCAGTTCAGTGGTAGAGCATATGCTTAGCACGTGTGAGGCCTTGGTTTTAACCCACAGCACAAAAATAAATAAATGGAAGAAATGGGAAGTGGGATGGGAGATGGCAAGTGTCACCAATTAATTTCCACAAGTAAAATTTAGGAACAACCTACAGGGCTGGGGGTATAGCTCAGTGGTAGAGCATTTGTCTGGCATGTCTGTGGCCCTACGTTTGGTCTCCAGCACTGAAGAAAGAAAGAGAGAGCAAGGGAGGAAGAGAGGGCAGGGCGGGGGCAGGGAGAGAGAAAGACGGGGACAGAGAGCGAGAAGGGGAGACAGAGGAAAGAAAAGAGAAAAGGAAATGAGAAGTAGCTAGAATGGAGAAATTACTTACTTACATGAATGTTTGAAGACCCCCAAATCTTATTCTACTAGCTGGGGCACCGGAGGCCATGCACCAAATCGCTTTCAAGGATCTCACCCTTTCTGTAAACCCAAACCTCCCAGTGTAAAAGCCAGTTTGGAACAAGACTTTCCTCAAAGCAGGAGAAGCTCATGGATCTTGAAATCAACTGCAACACAGTTTGCATTCAGATGCCAATGTTTTACTTGTAAAATGCAAGATATATGGCTGGCTTTTATTATTTTAGAAAGAAACCGGTGAAAGCCATATATCTCATGTATCTAGGGCAATAGCTCTGAAGTGGGTACAGCTTTGCCTCTGAGGACACATTGTCAAATGTCTGGGGACGTTTTTATCACAGCTCAGGAGAGGAGGGTGTTACACTGCCGTCCAGCAGGGGCCAGGGATGCTGCTAAGCGTGTGTGGCGCACAGGAGAGCCCCTGACCACAGAGAATGACATGGCAGCAACTGAGGACAGCGCTGAGGTTGAGCAAGCTTGATCTGGGGCAGTGGTGGCGATCCTATGGCATATGTGTTATTTTTCTTTTAAGACAAAAGATGTTAATGTATGTGTTGTTTTTTCTAACCTAGAACCTGAGTATTCAAGTTTAATGGCAGTGTTGGCACTTTGTGATAAATAAGTGGGTTTGGGGCTGCAGTTTGGGCACCCGTCTCTAAAAGCTTTGCCATCACTGATCGAGGGCGATGCTGTGTAGTTGAACTTGCTCCAATAATGGAATCATTCTGTACTTGCACTGTCCAGCACCACAGCCACTAACCACATGAAGCTCTGAAGTACTTAAAATGTGCTTAGTGCAGCTGAGGAGCTGAATTTTTGCTTTTATTTTATTTTAATTAACTTCAGTTTAAATAGTCACAAGAGCTGACTAGGAAGGAAAGAAAAGTAGGATAGAGCCAAAAGAAACTCCAGCACAGAAAGCATCATTG